CTTTTGGGCTTTCACACACCTGCTGGTCCTCAAAAATTGGGAGCCATAAGCAGCCAGAACCAGGGACTATTTGTTTCCCTTATCAGTATTTGTGCCCCTGGCCCTGCCTGGGAACCCTTATTTCCCCTCAATCTACAAACCAAAATAAAATTAATGAGGAGGAATGAAAATGGGTTGCAGAGGACTGCCCAGGCATCACACAGTATCTCAAAGAAATCCAGCTCTCGCAATACTCTTCTTTCTGGTTTTGAAGACCCCCGTGACCACCTACACCGTGGGGCACTTGAAGGACACCATACGCTGATCATTACCTGGCAATCAGCCTTGAGCTCCTCAAGGCTCATGGAGATTTAACCCAGCTCTGCCCAACACAGCACCACTGCTGGTTGCTTCAGCAACTCCATTGTGCCCAACTGTTCAAACTGGAAAGATCCAGCTCCAACCAAGAAAAGGACATCTGCTTTTGCATACTGGGTAGCAAGCTCCAACACATTCTGTTACCTATCAGGATAATCTCCGAATAGAGAGAGAGGTACCCATGCTTCACAAGGGTAGAACAAGTGAGGTAGGTACCTTCACAAGGTAGAACATGCTTGTTCTTCACAGCAAGAACAACCATCTCAGGGGACTCTCTGGAAAATCTAAGGAGGTAGACATAAAATTAAGAAGTCACTTGGCATTCAGGCATGGAACAACTCCTCTGCTCTAAGGAAGCAAACCATTTGCATGGGCTTTCTTGATGGCTCTGAACTCCATCATGCTGTCATCTGAACCTCTTTTTCCAGCAAGCCCCTGGGCTTTCAAAGAGGACATCCCACCCCATCTAGGAGACATCCACTCCTGATGGTCCAGGTGAATTGGCTGTGCTTGCATAGGCATGTAGGAAGAGCTGCCATGCTACAGAGCATGACTCTGCTTGAGATCCCACTCATCTATTGAGCAAGCGAGCCCTGGGAAAATGAAAAGGAGGAACCCACAACGGGAATCGTCGGAGCCAAGGCTGGTGCAAGAGGATGACACAGGCTCCGGGTGTCGTATGGCCTGGGAGAGGCAGGCTGGCTCCAACTCCTGCCACAGCACAAACCCACACCGAGCCAGGAGTTCAAAGGCAGCAAACCCATGCTGAAGGAGCAAGGCTTTGGCCAACGCCGATTTAAGCACTGCCCCAGTTAATGCTGGGGACCAGACTCATATCGACCATGATTCTGGCTGATTCACTGGAGAATGGGCAGACTACACCCATACTGAGCCCAAGGAAAGGGGTGAACTGCTGCTCTCAGCCTCCCTGAGCTCAACCCACTCTTTCCCCTCCCCAGCCCCATCGCCGAAGAAAGCGATCAGCAGGGGCAAAGAACTTCTAAAAGCCCCAGCTACTGCTGACAACTCAAGAAGCATTATTCTGAATTACTAGCAGACCTACACTGACTTCACACAGAATACAAAAACTGCCCATGAAACACCCCCGTGGCAATCCGAAAACACGCGTTTTGCAAATTCAGAGGCTTATGCAAAGATCTCCTTGGTAAGAAGCCAGAGCGCGGTTGCCAAAAAAGTCAACAATGTGAATTTTTCAGATAAAGGAAACCTGACGCCTCCAGCCCCAGATTGCCTGCCATCTCCGTTTTGGTTGGGGCTTCAGAGAATAACCGCTGCGGAGTCTTTTCCCATCCAGCCAGAAGAGATGGGCCAGGGCTCCCCTGAGTCCGATGACTCCCCTATCTTCAAAAGGAGCTGGAGTGAGAGGGTTGTGATCAACGTGCCAAACCACACTGCCTGGCTCTCACTGACAACCTCCAAAAATCAGTGCGGCCAGCAGGACAGAGGACCAAGCGCTGCTGAAACAAGCTAGCTGAATGCCAAAAAGAGGAAAGGACCAGGGGTATAACCAAAGACAGGAGGGACAATGACACTCAGAGGTGCTGACCAGGGCTATGCGGGGAAGTGGGAGTAGATGAGGCCAATACATTGTGGCAATGGAAATTCTGCCTTTTTTTTTTTTTTTTTCTTTTTTTTCCTACAAGCATTGCAGTAATAAAGATATAAAGGTGGAAAGAGAGATGAAAGCTGTGACCTTGGCTTCATGTCATAGGAATAGGAGCCAAATATTACGCCAGGAAGCTGCTGACTCTGCCTAATACTGTCTGGAGACCACGCGAAGAATGACACCTGCCTACTAATAGACCCTCTTCTCCCCCAAAATCCAACAGCTGCTGATCTCTGTTCTTCAGAGTCCATGTAATGGTCCACACCTATCTCCTTTGCTGCTGGAGACAGGAGGAGCAGAAGGGTGAAGCAAGAAATCTGGAGTTCCACCTACATGGCAGAGTTAACATGACAGCTTCTTCACTGTAGGCCGACGATGCTGCTGGAGCAAATAGGTGGCCAACAAACTTGTGACATTGGCTAGGAATTAAATCATCACCAATGCGACACACCAACGAATGTCCCTGGACAGGTATTCAACTCAGCAAACACCTCTAAGAGGACTTCCTAAGGGCACGTGGCCCTGTGAAGCAGGTCAAGAAAACCTAGGCTTTACCCTCTACAAAGTAAAAACGGTGCTCTCCACTTTAATGCTTCTCCTCTGTGAGAATGAGCACTGAAATTCATAGGAAAAGCGGACCCACAAACCAGCTTAATATGGTGAGCTTGGTCAGGGACCAAGAACTTTTGGTCAGGGATCAGGAACTTGGTCAGGGACCAAGAACTTTTGGTCAGGCATCAAGAACTTGGTCAGGGATCAAGAGTTTCAAGAACTCTCTCCCTTAGATGAGCTACTGCCCACACAGACATGGCTCCATGATTTTTTATCTGGGTTTCTTCTAGCCTGGGAGCAAACATGAGCGTTTGTGCTTCAGCAGTCCAGTGCCTACGTCCAGGTGGAGCACAAAGAGTCTTCCTAAAGGAATGGGCAGGATAACGGGACACATGTTGCTTCCAGTGAACTGATGAGCGTATTCGTCTGCAGCAAGAGCTGGAACAGCTAGAATTTCTCTGCCTGCTGACACAGAGGCTATAAAGAGAAGAGAAAGCCATTAAGGTAGCAGAAGGTATTTCTTCGAGTACGTGGCACCAGCAAACAGCCCCCGGGCCTGATGTGCCTCACCCTCTTAAAAAGGTGTTTATAGCTGAGCTGTGCTGGTGATAGTGGTGCATCACGGCACCCCGGGGGTTGCCCAGAGGAAGGAATGGATGTGGCCAAGAGGTCAGGAATAGCAACGGGAATTAATTCCATGAGGAACTCTCCCCTCTTCCCTGCCTTTCTGGAGAAGGGTGAGAATCAGAGCTAGCAGTGCCAGGATCCTGCTACGGCCACCACAGCTTCAACGGAGATTTCTCTAGACTACGTGTTTCCCTGGAAGAAGATGACCTGCCCAACAACGGGAATGGCACAGCGTTCATCCAGACCTCTCCGCTCCATACAAGCGCCAAGAGAAGAGCCACACCACTCCAAGGCAGAGTGCAACTTCCCAGAAAGCTGAAGTATCGGAAGAAATCACGCAAAAAAGGACAAAAAGACCTAAAAAATAAAATAAAATAAAATTAAGTCTACAGCAGCCATGTATGACTAACATGCCAGAAGAAGAGAGTCCTCTGGAGCATGGAAGCACACGTAGACCCCATTTCTTGCAAGACCTGGAAGGGACCACAGTCTACCCCTGTCATACTGGTAAGGAAAAATCACTCAGTGTTATCCATAAGACAAACGATTAAGTGAATCATCATGTAAAGAACATTGAATGCTCAGGAAAAAAAAACATATATACTTTTAAAGAAGTAAACAAGGAATCCGTAATTAATAAACATCTGGTTGTTTCCAGCCACAAAGACCTTCAGAAGTCATAGAAGTCGTTTCCTCTTCTATCTCTTCTACATGTAAATTAAAAAGGGAAAAATCAATTATGCCAGTTTTTCAACTGTCAATCAGTTCCTCAGCCTTGAATTAACCAGATGTTGAATTAAATCCAATGAATAAAATAATGTGAAGAAAACAGTTGCTCTGAAGCGGACGAATACATTACTACCCAAGTAGGCTTAATATTTCAATTAACACTGTCTCCAAGCATTTAACCAATCATCTCCTGCAATTCAATTTTGTTTTCTTTAAATCTCTGGCAGACGTGAACTCCTTTGAGTCACTGCATTTCATATAAATAACTAAGCAGATTACAGTAAATTTGGGCTATATTACAAGTTTGTTTCTTTCAAATCCAAAGTACCAGGGTTTTAAAATAAACATAATCCTTTCCAGTTTTAAAAATTTCTCAACCGAGCAAAAACTATTTTCCATTCTCCAAAGTAAACCAGAACATAGACCACATTATTCATGAATGTACATTCAACCTGGGATACCCTGGTGTTGCCAATCTAACAAGAAATTCAGGTGTGCAGAAAACCATTCTGTATCTGCCTTAAAATACAAGCATCAGTTACTGACAAACATATTTAAAATATGAAAAAAAAAAAACCCCAAAACTCACAAACTGACCCACTGGCTACTCTACTAATCCTGGGATTTTGTTTTGCCTGGGATTCTCTACGGTTTATTCAGAAAACATAAAGTAATTGGACAAACTCAGAGGCATAGTTCTCCATCAAGAAAGTCTTCCAAATAAACACGCAAAAACTCACACCGAGAGTGCCTCACGGGTCGATCTAAAGAAAGCAAATATAATGAAAGGAGTTATGCTGGAAGAAACACTAGGTGAAGGTCCAAAACCCACAAACTGACCCACTGGCTACTCTACTAATCCTGGGATTTTGTTTTGCCTGGGATTCTCTACGGTTTATTCAGAAAACATAAAGTAATTGGACAAACTCAGAGGCATAGTTCTCCATCAAGAAAGTCTTCCAAATAAACACGCAAAAACTCACACCGAGAGTGCCTCACGGGTCGATCTAAAGAAAGCAAATATAATGAAAGGAGTTATGCTGGAAGAAACACTAGGTGAAGGTAGAGCCAGAGGTAATGTGAAGAAAACAGAAATGTGCAGATTTACTTGTTTCAGTCAACAACAGTAACTAATGTTTATTGATTTCAGTTTCAGCAGCTAAAAATCCATGAAAACATTTTTATATGATACAGACAATACTATCCCATATTCAAATTTCTATCAAAGTAATAACACAGGCCAGGATTTTCTAACATTGTGATTTACTTATCAATTAGTACAGTAATACCTATTTTAAAATATAAATACCACTAAGCGCAAATAGCTTTTGTATCCAAATATAATTTAGCTGTCCAATTATATGGAAATATCTAAGTAAAGAGACTGAAAAAATATAACTGTTAGCTACAAAAATAGCTGGACACATTCTCAGCCACTGTCTCTCAACTGTTCCCTTTATATCCACTCTAAAAGTACTTCCAACACACTAATCATATCTATTCGGAAGAAACTAAAATTATATGATTTCAAACTATTTTCATTAGAAAAACAGTCCTTCAACAACTGCTTTTACTCTTCCAACTAATTATATACTCTTAAAGGCCAAATATTCGGTCAGTATGCAAAAATAACTACCCTTTTATTAGGGGTAAAACACCAGATAAGAGTTCCTAAGAAAAATAAAGATGCTCTTTGCCTCTACCAGCAACACTGTCCAATATAGGAAATTATATTTAATGTTAAAATTTTAAATACATCGATGTCAAAGTCTTAGTGACTCCGTATCAGAGACTTACTACAAGTAAGTCTGTTCACAGCATCGTAACTTGCTGGACTGCACAGCTAGTATTTCCTTGGAGATACTTCACCTGACAGCCAAGATGTTCAAAAAAAGACTACCTTTCTAAAAACAAGAAATACTAACTCAATACTAATTAATCTGCACCTAAAACCCCACAGCCCTGCCAAGAAGTCTTACCTACCTGGAATATTTTTGTGACCAACAGTCAAATAAAAAAAGATTGACCTGATTGATATTTGATCCAGACATTTGCCTAAGGATAGCGTAAGAACACTCAAATTAGAGGGCTAGCACTACTTTTTTTTTTCTCTTTTACCTTTGCACCTGTCACACTTTTTATGCAAAGGCTGTTTATTAAATGCAAGCCAAACCCCTGATTTTGTGTTTTGTAGCGCTCACGGTCTGATCCATATGGTCTTTTCCATGTTCATTGTACTTCTCTCCGAAAAATAAAAATTGATTTCAAGTACAAAGCTATCTAATCCACAAATAAAAACTACAGCGATGTTCTGCTCTCCCTAAAACAAGTTTGAAGCCATGATTATATTAAAGACACAGATGTGCGGGGATTTGTCAACTTCCAAACAGATATGCAAACAAAGCATTACAATCCAGGGGCGCAGGTAAATGAATAAGCAAGCAAACTACGTGACGTTTGCGCAGCGTCCTCTCAAATCCTGCAATCCCTTCTAGAAAGTCTGGGGTCTACATCTCCCTCTTCTTTACTCATGTTCTTCTCACATGGCTTGGTCTCAGAAACTTTCCATGCCTGTAACGGAAACTTGAGCCAACTTCTTAAATGTATGATTTCTTCATCTCCACTCATCATCCACTTCTGTTTCTGAGAAGCTCCTCATCATGACACCTGTATCTCAAGAAGCAAAACAGGAAACATCACAGGGATGAAGCAAGGAAAGATGAATAATAATATGCCTCTGTGTCTTTAATAAAATCCCAACTTTCATTCAAGTTCCTTTTAGGAAATCAGAGTTCCTTTCACAAAAGCAAAGTTTCACCAAACTCGGTAGGTAAGCACCGCATGCTGAAATTGGGGTAAACCAATGAAATCTCCCAATCTGCACCTCCGTTCCTGACCCGAGGAGCAGGAGGAATCCTGTACCGGCTAGCCTTGCACACAGTGCCAAACATCACGGGGCACCAAGCTTGCAGAACTAGTCTGAAACCACTGACCCATCTACTAACTTATCTGCTACCCAAAACAATGCAAGTTATCTTTACCCAAGAACCCTTGGTCCAAGTAATTGGAGCTCTAGACCACACCTGAGATGAAGAATGAAGATGTAAACCTCTCCTCTGCGTTTCCCACTGCTCCTTAACCTGGGCAACTTCCACAGTACACTTGCGTTTTTACACACTTGCTCAGGTACCAGAGGAGATGCTTCCTTGGCACTTACAGCAGTTTAACTACAAGGTGACGAGGCCAAAGGTACGTTCAATGCATCTTTGTCCCCAAAATTGTATCATAAAATTTGGGGTTGGGGCAGAGAGGACTTGCCTGTCTGGTTCTGCCATCCAAAACTCAGGACCAAGCGGACCCAAAGCCAACAGCAACACCGTTCAGAGTCTAACAACAAAAAGGGCAGAGGGGTGACTCAACCCCAAAACGGAGACACGGCCACCTTGCCTCCAAACAAGCAGCCCAAACCATTTGCCTGCCTCAGGACTTTGCCCGAAGGCTGATGGAGGGGGCGCAGGAGAAGTGGTCTCTGCAGCCTCCCCAGCCATGAAGCCTTCAGGGCAGATAAGCAGGCACCAAAGCCAGCCAGCTCTCAGCGGGGCAGAAGCACGAAAGCAATTTTCTCTCTCCTTTTTAGGGCGAAGGCCACCTTTAAATAAAACATTAGCACCAAAAACTCTTCCTTAGCAGAGGCAGAGCAGATCCTACCTCTTATCAGCCACCATCTCAAATTCTCAGAATTCCACCTCCCATCTGAAATCCTCCTTTCTTCTGCACGAGCCCTTGAGAGCGGCGTGCTCCATACAAGGGGCACATTTCACTGGGAGAGACAGCACAGTCCTTCGCCAACTCCTCCGTTCCGGCTCTCTTACGCTACAAACCAGGGACGGCTGTAGGCACAGAGTCCCCTCCCAGCACAAAAAGTCCTGGCTTTGGTTCTTGCACGTTGCAGGAAAGAAGATAATTGAGCCTTGGACAGTCAAAGCAAGAAACCCTCTGACAAGGCTCTGGGTATTGCAGGAACAATAGCTGTTAAGTAACCGGACAGAAATGGATTTGCCGTGCGGGGATTGTATGTCAAAGAAAAATACATATTCCCTCAATTCTAAACATCTTGAAGATGTCCTTGCCCTCAAAAGTGTGTTGGAGGCAAACGGTCCTGGAAGCCCGTGCCTCAGTGACCATGCCTGCTATTGAGAAACATGCTATCACCTACTCAGGAAAGGCAACTATCACAGATTTTAAGAGCTTACAGAGCACAAAAGCCCAGGCAGTCAACCCCACGTGTCCCACCAGCAGGTCATCCAGAACATGTCCAGATACCATCCAATTGCTTTAGACCACACTGATCCTTAATCTTATATCACGACGATCAGTGTATCCAAGAGGCAGACACTACCATTTCACTGTTCCATACTCATCGTAACTCCATATTCTCTCTGAGCATCAGAAATTAACTGTGAACAAGTAATTCAATTTATTATTGACATCCTCACTCATTAATCAGATGTCTACACTCAGCACACGCACCACACAGAATACAAGACATCCAGACTGCTCACTGTTGCGTGCAGAAAGAGAACTGCAGAAAAAGATTAATAATTATCAAAAAGATCTGACGCTGGCTGTCACCTGAAACAACCAAGGAATTTTCTGTTTTCTTTTGAAGAGACAATTTACTGGCAGGCTGGTACTCCTAACTTTGATCTTCATAGCAGCCAACGCTGGCAGAAGAATTTTGTAGCTCGGTAACAAAACACAGCAACCTCCCGGACTGTTAACTCAATTACAGTGTTTTGGCACAGAAGCCTTCCCCTTATACCTTGGGGAAAGTCTTAAGATTAAACAGTGCGTGTTTTAAAGGCACATGTGCCTCAATTATTTGGTGTAACTGCTTATGCACCTAATTGCTTTGAGAGAAAAAGTATTCCATGGCAACTTGCTTGGAAGACTGGTATTTTCCACCACGTAACCACACCGACCACGCACAGAAACTTAAATTACAAGACCAGTTTCAGCCTAATCTGATGGAAAAGGACAGAGATTTCACAGGTGCTCAATTCCTACAACAGAGTGGCAGAATAAATAATCGAGGCAGCGCCTCCCCCGCCCCGAGCAACACGCCTGGTTCACAAACATCAGAGAGACATCACCTTTTGATTAAATACACCCAAGAGCTACAAGGTGGTAAGAGTCTGCTCAGGCACCTTGATGTTGGGAAAATCAGGGGGGCTAACGGTACTGCTGCGTGACCAAAAGAAGGGATGATGTTTAAGGTGCCACCCAAACTGAGAAAGCTGGAGGAAACACTCATCTTCCCTCATTCAGCTGCTCACAGAGCTACTTTTCAACCTAAGGAGCCACACAGCTTGTGCTCCCCATCACGGCTCCATCTTTACTTGGTCAACGGTTGTCCCCTTTCGCCGACGAGAAAACTGGAAAAGTAGACACACGCCTCAGTACAGGTGGCCTCAGAAAAAAAAAGAAACGTTTCTCAAACCCTTTCAACAAGATCCTCTCCAGGCAGGGTAAGCTAAGCACCGCCACGAGAGATCAGATGGCTGGTCCATCTCTTTGAGAATCCTGCCTCCTGTGATCGGGACCAGACGCTTCAGAAGGTGGAACAGGTCAGGTAGTGAACAATGATGTCATTCACCCAAAGGGGAAATTCCTTCCTGACCTCATCAATTAGCGTGAAGGTTTATACGCTTAATCTATTTTTAATCCTATTTACTGCAACCCTGGACATTGTCAGTATATATATATAAACGTCTAGGTCTGCTTGGAATCCGACTAAACTTCTGGCCTCGGTAATATCACGTGGTGTAATTACGCCAGGTTTCAAATGTACTGATTTTCAATTTCATTTAAACACGCTTTTGTCCGTGCGCTACGGGAACCGGCACCGCTATTAAACCACCTCTCTTCCCCTTCTGGGGGCTCCAGCCTGGCTTGCACCCTAAGCTCCCACACCATACTGTGCTCTTACGGAGCAGGAACATAATCCCGAGGGCCTTTAAGGCAACGACTCGGCAACAGTTATCCAGCAACACTTCTATACGCTGATGAAGTTCTGAGGATCTGCTGGAAGCTGGCGGCTCCACCAGAATCTCACCAGGTCCTACCAGGTCTTGCAAGCTCACTTTTCTGGTGGTTTCCACTCCAGAGCTGCCACCCTTACAAGCAAACTGGTTTGCCCTGTGTTGTGCCCTTTGAACAGGCAAGAAGCATACCATGCTTTGCAAGGTCATGCAGGAACCTCTCCCCCTCTGCAAAGAATTCCCCTCCCATCTCCATGCCCGCATAAGGAACAACCAGTGTCCAACCAAGCAAAACCAACCCCATTTTACTCTCAGCTGATGTTCCCGAGGGCTGCAGGTTCCTCTGTGCCATAACATTAGCCTATATTGGTACTTATGGATGAACTCATGACGTATTCATCATGATTATTATGCCAAGTACTTACTAAAGCTTCACTGCAATTAGTGACTGTTGTTTCTGCTCTCACAACGCTCGCAAGAGGCGTGAGGGACAAAGCCGCACCTCCATTCAACAAGTTTGGTGTAAATCAAATAATAATGATATATGCAAGCAGTAGACAACGATTCGGGACTCTTAAAGCAAACTTGAAATTCATTCAACAAGTTTGGTGAAAATCAAATAATAAATAATGATATATGCAAGCAGTAGACAAGGATAGGGGACTCTTAAAGCAAACTTGAGGTTCTAGATCCTCTTGTCTTCCCTGCTTCCAGTAACTATTTGGGCTGCATTCTCTTCTCCCAGCCTCTGGAGTTAAAACATGGGAGCCCTGGCAACAGGTTCTTAATCCCAAAGATTAGTTCTGAGAGTAGCTCTGGCTGATATCTCATGGGAAGATGGCCCCCCAAGGAGATGACAGAGTTTTTACAGCATCCATGAGAAACACCACACAGCCATCACTGTTTTACCGCAAGTGTTTAGATTATGGGCTTGGAACTGGTAAATTATGGCAAGAGAATACTTCTTTGCCTCAACCAAAAAGAAAATTACACTATTTCATCCCTCTTCATCTTCAGGCAAGCAACCGGTCGAGAGAAAACTCCTGTCCCAGCCTATGGTCCATAAACAAACGGAGCTCTTTAATGATCAAAATAACACTAACAGAACCGGTAACAGCCACCACTTTGCCAACTGTTAGCTCTTTAAGCAATACAACTACAGGCAACATTTTTTTTTTTCCTCGATTGGAGTATCATATACTCATCGGAGTCAATAAAATCACAGGTCTCATAATGGCAGTTAAATTGTCCCATTGCATAGTTCCCGGTGATCCCCCCCGTGCTGTTTAATAGTTGCGCAGCAGCCCTAGAAACTCTGTGTCCGGAGCAATGACCTTAATACTTTCTTCCTAAGAGGCCACATACACTTTCCTGTTCTTCTGTCTCACACGAGTAAAGACGACTCTACAATGCTCTTAGGCAACGCTCAAAGAGCGGTCCAAGCCACAAGTTTCAGAGCACTGCCATACCAGCATCTCCAGGACCTCTAATCAGCCATCAAGTGGTTTGCCTTTGGCATTTCAGGATTTGCTGAGGTTGAAAGAGAAGACAGTAATGACAGAGGACAGTTCTCCCATCAGCAGTGGCAAAAGTAATCTTGGAGGTCTCGAGTGCAAGGCTTTCACCGCTTTGGGGTCGTTATTGAATATGAAGTCCAAAAGATGTGATATTTTCTGTTTTTCACTCGCAAAAGAAGAGTTTGGATAAGGAGATCTTTCAACGGACTCAAAGGTATTTTTGGCTGCTAGAATTCTCAATCTGTTGTGCTAAAATTAGCTTTAAATAAATGTGCAATACAAGCAGTACATACTTTGCCTAAGAAAAAATCCGCTGGCCACTCACAGATCATGTGAACTTGGTTATTTAGTCGAGCTAAGAACACCAATTATTCCAAGCCTTATCTGACTGTAGATTTGGATCTGTTTAGCAATGGCACTGCCACATACCGAAACGCACGAGGAGCCACAGCTCGTTACCAAAGCGAGGGAAAGTTCCTGCAGACAGTGGTTGCTGCCATTTAACCACACAGTCATGAAGAAAAGAGAGAAGGTTGAAAAAGCCTGTGCCTCTGCCTCTTCCCTTCCGACCCTCCCTCTGAAAAGAAAAAGCAGTCCACCCTTCCTTCCATATTACAGTATAAAGAAATTGGATGCCTTCAGCTATCACTCCCTGATATATATCCACCAACCAAAGCTGTGGAAGATTATATTCTTAGGTTTGTTTTTTTTTTTCCCCTTCAAGTGTTTCATCAATCAGTAACAGGGTTCCCTAAGTCCTGCTCTGTTTTTACAACCGGTGTCACCGACGTTGGTCCTAATATTGCTCATCGGAGCGTACACCACAATCTGAGCAAATTAGAGTCGTTCAAACACAGCGAGTCCTCGGTGCTGGGTAAAGTTCACAGCAGCTGTTCAAGTCCCAGAAAGACATCTGAGAGGAGCGCCATAAATAACGAGATCACATGGAGTCTCCCATTGCACAACCAACATACATCTTTCCTGCTCAGGAATTTATGCTTCACACCCTACGCTGTCAGTCAGGAGCGTATTACAAGCTATGCTTTCAGGATGATCCAGAGGATATTTTGGAAAGTAATACAGCCCTCCTGCCGGCCCAGTCTTCTCAAAATACTCCTTCTATTCCATTACAAAAAAAAAAAAAAAAAAAAAAGACAATGTTTCTATAATCTTGTCCAAACTGCTGTCTTTCTCAGGAGCAAGCTATAGATCCACGCGTGCCTCTATACATCACAGATGTCTAAAAACCAGTTCCAGCAAGTCTGACAGCCTGGCGGAAGCTGGAGGGGACTACTCCTTCGCAGACTCAGGATCTAAGTTCTTCTTCAGAAATTAAAATGTAAGGCATTTTCTCAGACTCTGATTTCGGCAAATCCCCGATTTGAGCAGCAAGATTTTTAAGATCATTAATGCATTTTACTGCTAGATTAAAATTAAACCCAGTTCTCCTAAAACGTCTTATTCCTAGGCCTCTATGAGGGGAGAATCAATTTTCAAAGCAGTGCCTAGCTGTAACTGAGAAAGAAGATCTAAGGTTATTCTATAAAATTGATTCTTTTTTTTCTTTTTCTGGAGTTTTGCCACAAATTGCCTTCGAGGGCTTGGTTCAGAAATTCCAAATTCAGTTTATTGTTTTTCTCATTGAGAACTAACTCCTTTTAGCAATTCTGTTAATCTTGGAGTTCAGAGTTATTTTTATAAAAGTAACGCCCAGAGTTCAGCTATTCCATAAAAAGATCAGGAATTATTTTTATTAAAGTAACACCCAAGGCTTAGGCATTCCTAGCAAAAATCAGGCAAAGCACCTTCATTCTTAAAAAGGTCCTTAGCCTTTCCCTTGTAAGCACAGATTTCACAGAGACAACCGAGCACTGAGAATCTTATCAGCCTCTTTTTTTTTTTTTTTCCCCCAGAGTTGGAAAAGAAAGTTATTAAGGCAGGATTTCTCCTGCCTAAAAAAATCCTCAGCCTTTCGCTCTTAACACAACGTGTTGTTTTTTTTTTCCTCCTCCCTTCTTGTCTTCTGTTACAGAAGAAGCAGGACCGATTTCCACTCCCCAACATCCAGATTTCTCACGAGACATCTGCGCTGGCTGTGGGGTGTTCTGCCAGCAGTCGGTATCTTGGGTCATACTCGGTACCTGTCCCTTAGCCAGCAGGGAGTCCTGCCGACCCAGGTGATACCCATTTCTCAAGGAGCTTGTTAGACTACAAGAAACTCGTTCTTAGCCCTTAACTCTTATGCCACAACAGAAAAGAGGCTGCAAAGTAAAGGATCTTACCTCCTTTCTCAGGGGCCGGAGGCACTGAAACCTTCTGCTCTTCGGTGGCAGCCCTGTCTTGAGGACGAGAACAAGTGCTGCCCTTTTGTTTGAGCGACTACATTAATACACTAGGTGACATCACCCAGGTTCCTCACCGTGACTAAAATACAGTTGAAGTGTTCGGAGGGGAAAGGGAACGCCTTTTGATCGCTGCTTCCGACTCGGAGGGCAAGCGACGGCAACCGAGGAGCGTGCTTTGTCAGCAAGCCTCCCCCAAACACTATTGCTCTTCAGGCATAACAGGCCAAAGACATCACGGAGTTAATAACACCTTTTTTCCAACAAGGTGCCTCTTCCCCATTGAAAGAAGGCACGTAGCGACAATTTTCAATCTCTTTAATGAAGAAATTAGGGCTGGGGCAAAAACCTTTTCAGTTCCTTGGAAAGAGAGGCTAAGTTGCAACATACCCACCTTTCTCTCTGCAGCGTGTATAATTTCGGCTTGCTCAACAGCAGTGGCACTCCTGAGCTCAGGAGGACTTTAAAAGGAGCGATTATGCTCACGAAAGTAAGCTAACGTGAATAAACTGCCCAGGCAACAGGGAGACATTCCAGAGCCCTGTGCTGTTCACCAGGCTTTTGGCCAACCCTGCTTAATCATATATGCAAAACCCAAATTACAGACAGATTCATCATAGGTTAGAATATTCTCAATGAATAATTTCGCGCTGTGCCGAAGAAGCTTCCCAGCGAACCGCCCTCGGACAAAGGCACTGGGATCTTCTCCCCATTCTCAGAGTTCCTGCTGGCGCCAGCAGTACCAGGGGCACAGCAAAGGCTTCCCCTGAAGGTCTTGATGGACCAGGAGGCAGTTTTGGAAGGGAAGTCTTGAGAGCATGTTTAGCACCGCTCACATGTCACACTGCTGAAATTCATAACTCTTCTGGCTGTAACACAGCACGGCAGCTGCTACAGGCTACGTTCTCATCTGGGATGGGCTGGCACATGCCAGTTCAGACTATCCAGGGAAGGAACACCGGACTGAAACTCCAAATGCTCACGGCACGGGGGAAGATATTTTCACAAGGCGGCCCACAGAGTTGACAACTTCAGCTTTCAACACACTCATAGCTTAGAAATATATTTGAGACCCTCCCGAGCCTTGTCACAGAATTTATAAAGCTCTGTCCCAAAAGCTTTGACCTTTCGTGCTGCACTGAGCAAAAAAACCTAGACAGTCACATTTTAGTTACGAGGAGAGAGGTAACTTTTCCACCACTTAGCAGAAGACTATACTTTTCACATAAGATTACAGGAGTCACGGTTGTAACTTTAGCTGAAAACTGCATTTACAAAGATCTGACTGTCCAGCAGCTCCCACGGACGCAACAGAGCGGTCAGGTTCTCAACAACATCCGAGTTATAATTGAGAGCAACTCGTTAACGCTTGTCTGCGGTATCACAGAGATGCAATGCTTTAATCGCTTGGAAAGCCTTCCCTCACTCGCTTTGTGTGACGAGACACCACCCAATCTACATATCATAACAGCTTTTTAAACAGCATTGAGAAAGCTGGTAAGATTTGCCTCTGTACAGCATTCGCAAAAATAAACGCGACTAAAGATAACTTTGGCACAATTTTTTTTTAAAGGTCACAAGCTTTTCCCCGTCCAAGACGTCTAATAATTCAGCATGAACAGAGTTCCACAAGAGTTTGAGAATCCGTTCCTACGCAATGCCTACGAGCCTGACTGCTGGGAATGAACATGAAAAAAAAAAAAAACAGAGCTACTGTCTCTACCCTACCTGCCTTTGCTTTCAGGCATAGAATCATAGAATGGTTTGGGTTGGAAGGGACCTTAGAGATCATCGAGTTCCAACACCCCTGCCATGGGCAGGGACACCTCCCACTAGAGCAGGTTGAATCACAGAATCATAGAATTGTCTAGGTTGGAAGAGACCCTTGGGATCATGGAGTCCAACCATCAACCCCACTCTACAAAGTTCTCCCCTACACCATATCCCCCAACACCACATCGAAACCACTCTTAAACACATCCAGGGATGGTGACTCCACCACCTCCCTGGGCAGCCTATTCCAGTCTCTGACCACTCTTGCTGTGAAAAACTCTTTCCTAATGTCCAGCCTAAACCTCCCCTGTTGGAGCTTGAAGCCATTCCCTCTTGTTCTGTCATTAATTACCTGTGAGAAGAGACCAGCC